CTTCTTCCCTCTGAGGGTGACGGAGCCCTGGCACAGGCTGCCCAGGGAGGTTGTGGAGTCTCCTTCTCTGGAGATATTCAAGACCCGCCTGGACAAGGTCCTGTGCAGCCTGCTCTGGGTGACCCTGCTTGGGCAGGGGGTTGGGCTGGGTGACCCACAGAGGTCCCTTCCAACCCCTACCATCCTGTGATTCTGTGACTCCGGTTTTCAGAAAAAGGAAGCTCAGCTAAGCCTTCCACACATCTCCATTTATGTCCCTTCCACGTTCATGGCTCCAGAAAGGGATGACAGCTTTTAACGAGCGTACGGAAACCTCACTGGGCTCTCACAAACCCAGGGAGAGCCCCTGCCCGAGCCCCCCACCAGACCCCAGCTACTCGGCAGAGTTAAAGCCGAGCACCAAACACGTGCTGAGCATGGCCCGACAAAATCCGAGCAGAGGGGGCTATGTTCCTCCTGCCACGGCCAGCCCCACCGCTTCATGTGCATCTACAGCTGGCTTCTCCACCACCTGCGCGTGCTGGCCCTCCCTCCACCTCCGAGGAACGGGAGGAGCATCGTTTGAATATCTGATTAAACAGCCAGAAAAAAAGTAAACCATCACTTAAAAAGGGAAATGGAGACAGTTTACAATAATGTCCCATAGCTCTTGATAGATTTTCTTTTCATTTTCTTCTATTTAATTTTTTTATCCAAAAATCTATCCAATTTTTTATCCAAATCAAATTTTATCCAATTTTTATCCATAATAAACACCAGCAGAGAGCGTGAAATTTACTGACAGCATTTCACTTGCCGTGCCCGGTTGGGAGCAGCGCCGAGTCACCCAGCTTCTCCTAGGATGATCCCAGCGCCGGATTAAACCCCACTACAGCAGGAGATGGCCTGTTTCCTTCAGCCGTTCACGCGTGTGAATATCATCCAAGCGCACGAACTGAACACGAAAAAATAACGAAAGCAGAAAGAAAACGAACAAAAACCAGAGGCAAAACGACTGCGCGTCTCCCCACAGCAAGGAGGAAGCCCAGGCTGGAGGATCTCCTAGCAGGAGGAGGATGACAACAAGGACTGTATGGATGGCACGTTTCTTCTCCATTCCCCCCTCCCGATCTCCCGTTAAGCTGCGTAGCTTCACGGCTGCAAGGTGTCTGCTGCAGGAGCGTCCAGGGGACAGAAGGGTTGGGAGGTCTCCGACAATTCCCCAGTTGCTACTGCAGTTGATTTTAGGCAAGGGACAGAAAAGAAGGAGAACAGGCTGAAGGAGATGCTGAATCACGAGGGAGTAGAGCTTCAAAGACGTGCACAATCCACGTTCAGCCGTTCATTTGGGACCAAGGCAGAAAACAGAGGGAGAAATCAGTACAGGCTGGGGCTGACCTGCTGGAGAGCAGCTCTGTGGAGAGGGACTTGGGTGTGCTTGTGTGGACGACAGGGTGACCATGAGCCAGCAGTGTGCCCTGGCTGCCAAGAAGGCCAATGGCATCCTGGGATGCATCAAGAAGAGTATGGCCAGCAGGTCGAGGGAGGTTCTCCTTCCCCTCTACACTGCCCTGGTGAGGCCCCATCTGGAGGACTGGGGCCAGTTCT